ATGAAAGCAGAAATAAGACGTTCATCTAACAAATTTCGGAAAAGGTTAAGAGAGTCTTCAATAAGATGAAAAAACATTTTGCAAAAATGGTGACGATGGCGGAGAGCAAACTCGCATCGTACGCCTATGAAGCGAGACCACTACCACTATGCCACGTCGGCAGTTGATACGGAGGCGACGAGTTCGCATATCCGAATAATACTACTGTCAAGCAATTTCCAGCCCCCATAACTTTTTAAGGAAAACAATTTAGCAGTTTTAATTTCCATTTTCGTAAATAGCATTCAAAACTCTATCGATTTATATGGGTCTAAATTCAAAGTCCCACGGTAAGTAGACTACCCCTCCCTGGTTAGTCCCTCTCCCTTTGGGCAGTCTGTTTTGGCTCCGAGATTTAAGCAGCCTCTGCCGAGTGGTATTGGCCCCAACGCAGCCGTGTCGGAGACCCCCTGAGCTTCAAAGGAATTAGGCCCATTTTCATTAATATTTTTGGGGAATGATTACCCAATATGTTGCTTGCCAGGCTGGGGGGGGGGGCTTGTCAGGCTATCCCAAAGTGGACGAGGGGCTTTGTTTTTGGAGGCGGCTCGATTCGCTTCGCATCCCAGATACTTCCCAGTCACTCAAATGCAAGCTTTTAGTTGAGTCGATGGGCAAGATACCAACTGCACCCACAAACTCTCCACGCATAACGCATATCGACCAGCACAGCAGAAGCAGGAAGTCCATCCTCTGAATCCACCTGCATCACTGAGCAAGTACTGGCGCTTCTAGTCGGGAATCAATTCCCCTATCCGCCACCTGGGGCGCTCTATGTAGCCTCGTCGCTACCTCGGTGAAAGGAGATCCGTAGTAAGAGCAAGGTAGGTGTAAAAGCTGAAAAAGATGAAATCAAAAAGTAATTGGTGAAATCTAAACCGAAATCTCTTCCTTACTGACGGTGACGCTACTGTAGCCTTTGACGGTGACAGTGAAAGCCATTATTAGCGAAATTAACCTCTTCCTGACATTTCTGCACAACAGTGTTCAGAATAATTCTAACTACTGCACTGCGATGAGTGAGAGGCGATTACTATCTTTGATGGATCGCAACCCTCATTAAACATTGAGTGGAAAGATTTCTGAGTTGAATCCATCCCAAATTGGATGACGCGTTTAACTTTATCGCACTTTGGAACATCTCTGGAATGCTTGCAAATGGCTCGCTCTGCCTACAGCTGTCTAGCGCCTACTGCAAAACCAGTGAGGCTTTTATCGTTGAACTTGGTGAAATGGCGACGCACTGAAATCCCTTCATGTTTGCACAACGTCCTTTATACTATGTTTTCAAAGCTTGACTTATTTATTTGAAGGGAGACCCCCTCATCAAATATTATAATGTTCTTCAGTGAATCTTTTTCTTGTTCTCAATTTTTCGACTACGGAACTTTTTGTTAATTCTTTTCTTGAGGCGCTTCAAAATTGCTAGGTATTTTGGAAGCCAAGCGAAATGAACTATAGGCTACTCTCTCTGATGCTCCGAAGAACTTCCCGCGAGAACTTTGAGAGAGCTAGAGTCGCTGTTAGTTTCGATAGGAACCAGTTGGGCCGCCCGTTTTACGCCAGGTCCTCATTCCTTACATTTATTAATCAGTTAGAAATGCCCCCCCCCCTTAAGTGAAGAAATGTAGAGGAATGTAGGATAGAGGTGGGTTATCCATATCCGTGCCTTTATCGTAATCATAAGACCGACAAACAGACATACCTACATACCGACAAACCGACACACCAAGTTTCCGCTTTATAAAAAGAGAGATTATCTGTTCATTTAGTCATTAGGAAGGAAAGAGCCACGAAGAATGATAAACAATAATCCTACTATATATAATTCGCTAAGTGTGTCTGTTGGTTTGTCGGTGTGATTGTGTGTGTGTGTGTTTGTTTGTGTGTATGTGTGTCGGTGTGTGTGTCTGACCGGAAATTCATAACTCCTGTCTCCGTGGGCCTAGAGCGTTCAAGCTTGGTAGGAGTATGGGGGGCAGGATAGGAACACTTACGGTGAGTGGCGGGACCGGATTCCATGCACAGGGAGTGAGGCGTGCGCAATAGAAATTTTGGGCCGCAAATTCGCAAGTCCTGTTTACGTGGACCTAGAGCGTTGAACTTTGAAAGGATCACACTTTTCGTACTAACAGTGGAACAACAGCATTTAAGTAAGTGATGTAGGATATGACGGGACCGTAGGTGCTCAGTGACAAAAACAGATCATAACTGATAAGAGAAAATAAGGGACCTACTAACCCTTCGGTATTTACGATGTAGCTTTGGCTGTTCAGTATGTTTCATTCGATAAGACGAGTGATAGGGCCCCATCAGCGGCACTGCGCTAAGCAGATTAGAATTTCGTTCATTTCTTACTATAAGATTACGACCGCTACTCAGCAAGGTTTGTGATTCGATAAGGATCCTCTTTGCTTGATATCATTTGGAACAAAACTTGATCGACCGCCTGTAATCTGGAGTTCTCAAGGAATGATGTCTCCGTAAAGAAAAGAGTCCACTGATAAAAAACATCTGATAACAGTGCTATCATCACTCAGAACATCTCCGTAGCATCATCTTTGATTGTCTAACAGTTGGGTTTTTGAAGGGTATTTATTTCTAAGGAAGCGAGGAGAAGTTTGAAACTTCCAATCAAAGGCCTAAGCACCGACTTTAACTGAATACCGCTTGCACTGCCCTGTTAGTCCTGTGTCAAGCTTCGTGTACAGGAAACTGTCATTTGTTTCAGAAAAGGGGTGGAGAGTTAGACTTTCTATCACTTTATCAAAGAGTTAGGGAGGCTTTCGATTTCTGTTGTGTCAAAAAAGGATTTCGAGCTCTGTTCCAGTTTCATACTCTCACTCAGCTAAACAGGGGAAAAACTCAAACTCACCTAAACAGCGAGAAAAAAACCCAAATCAATAAACTCTGAAAAAAGGGAAAAAATTCTTCAGTTCAACTTTTCTCGGGATAGGGTGTTTGACACAAGAAGGAGGAAAGTCTGGCGTTAGCCTGAAGATCCGACTGGTTCCCAAATAAACGGCAAGATGAGACACTGAACACATAAGCTAGTAGTATTAGCTTTGTTACATCGAAATGTTTTCTGATTTCTTCGAGGTTAGAGTGAGGCGACAGATGGTAACTCTCGGAGACTGTCATTTCCTCTCAAATTTACCCTGGCTGCTTTCATAGTCCGCTGACCGGCAGGCCGGCGTGCCACGAGGCAATGCTAGGAGGGAGTAGGGTGGCAGACGGTCGGTCAGCCCCTCGAAGGGCTGTAAACATGGAGAGACAGGATCAAAAACCATTTGTACGAGCCCCTGGTTGTTTGGTTTTTAATATTGTTATTCTTTGTTTTCACCCCTTCGACCGACCGTCTGCCGCCCTCCTCCCCCCTAGCGCTGCCTCGTGGCACGCCGGCACGCCAGCACGCACGCCGGCGGACTATGAAAGCAGCCCATGTCGTTCGCAGTTCCGCTGCAAACCACTGCCACTTAACCCGAATAAATAATGACACCGCTCATGAGTCTGAACATTCTCAACATAGGGCAGAAACCGCTCAAACAACATTGGTCAGACATTAATTCTAAATCATATAGGCGGAACGGATTCAAATATAAGAGATTCTGCAGACACCAGCAGAGACAAATGAAGTCAGAATGACTAGAGTACGATGAATCTGCGCATCTGGTTTCGAAGCGGTATCTCGTTGGCCAACCACATCGAAGCCTCATTTCACTTGTTGCAAGTTTTCGTAAACTCCCCTTTCCTCCCGCGTAGGCGTTGAATGCGTGGGCACATTCCTCAGAAGTGTTGATTGACGCCCCGACACTTTATCCTTTTATTTGTCTGTGTCAACCGTGCTTCCTATTTCCACACGGTCATTCAGTAGTTTACTGAATTTCTTTGGGAGGTTAAAAGTGTGAACTGTACGGTGCATGCAGTCTAGAGTTATTGACGCAATCTCTGGTAAAAAAGCTCCAATTTTTTATTCGTATGTGTACGAACTTGATAGCGTGATGGTTTAATAAAGCAAATATTGGGACAGAAAATAGAAATGATTGAGAAATTTAACTATGAGATTTGAAGTAGGCTATTATTGGTTCGTAATTTCTATCTTTCCATGCAATGCGGTCTTCGATGACTTCTATTCTTCTGCTGAACGCATCGATTTTGCTAGCCTCCCTGTGTTCTTCGACAAAATTTTTAATCTGGAAAATACACTTCGATTTTTCCAGCCCATGTGAATGACCTATAAAGATGACAAATGCAGAAATCTAGGCTGCACTATCGGGTAACTCAACTAGTTCACATGGCGCATAATTGGAAGCAACTTCAGCACAATTTCTTACTTTTAATTAACAAAACCTTTTCTGGTCATGATCTTTCCGAAGGGAAACTCAGGAGTGAACATCTTCGAAGCAGGACGGTTTGCATAAAAAGAGGAGTGCAATTGGCATCCGATTAAATGACACTTGATACCACTATTACGAAGTCTTGATCTTATTCTCTTGATCTTTACAAAGGTATTTAAAACTTGAATCCTTCATCGATCGGACGCGTGCTAGTTTTCACTGGGAATTGAGTATCTTTGACAGTTTTAGCCAAACAGCCCATTCATACCAAATTTATCACGAGCAATATATCAAAATTAAGAAGAAACGTTAACTTTCACTGAGCCGCAAACTTGATGCATTGTTGTCGTATGGTAAGTTGATAGCAAATAACAGATCAAATTTAAACTTCCATGTTCGGTCTTCTTGAAACTTAGGCATTCAACATTATGTTGGATACTGCTTTGCCTTTAGGTTTGTTATTGCCGAATCACTTTATTGGACAACGTTTCGACTGAATCGTCGTCTCACACTCATTCCTGCTGTTCAGGCTTCGATTTTTCGTGCAAATATGTAACGCTTCCAGTACTTTCTGGCACCGATCTCATTCTCGTAGCTAGCATTTCACATTCGATGTCGAAATCATTGCCTTGATGACCTTCTAGTGGATTTTTCCCTACAGGGGATACCAACTATTTCTCCTTTCGATTAACTAGTCCCTTACAGAAAGCGCTTGGTTTCGCATTCACTGGCTTCTCCAAGGCAGGCGTGGCGAGTCTGCTACAACTTTTGTAAACTACTAAGTCTTTGAAAGCCCGTGTCCTTGTCCATAACATCCTCGGCACTTGGTCGGGTAAGTCATAGATCAGGAGCTTCGAACTATTTGCAGTTCTTGAAGACGACGATTCAGTCGAAACGTTGACCAATAAAGCGGTTCAGCAATAACAAACCTGTACGGCAAAGCAGTATTAAACAGACCAGATTTAATCCCCACTATGAGATGCAAGCTTTCAGACGCCATAGTGATAACTTTGCGAATGCGTAGTTTTTTGTCGACCTACCCTGCATCCCGATTTACCATATGGAACATTTTGAGATGTCAAGCTATAGTCAAGTCAAAAGCGTTGGGAACTGATGGATGACGTCCCCCAAGTCTCTCGAACTTTTAACAGCTTCTATAAATTTTGTCATGTCATGTGCGCTCCGGTTACGCCTTAAGTCACGCAATGGAGCAGAGAGATTCCCTGTTGGCACGTAAAGAGGGAGTGAAATGGTTTTGGTAAGGTATCTTTCTAGGATCTTTCCATACCTTCTGAGTAGCTCTTATCATTTAATGTAAGTCTCTGTCTCTAACATCTACGTTTCGTCACACCCGACATAGCCCACAGGAACGAAAATTCAGAACGGCACTCGGCTCTTACAGTAATCCGGCACACCATAACCCGCGAATTTTCACCGGTCACATATACGACGCGTCGAAAAAGGGTCTTGGGCTAGGACACGAGGGTGGGTGTTTGGTAAGCCAGCGGGTTACTGTAAGAGGTGAGTCTCCGTACTGAATTTTTGTTTCTGTAACATAGCCCACGCTACAGCGAGCGTTCCACTATTAATGCGAAGGCGTAAGAAACCCAGTTGTCTCGCCCTTCAAAGTCGAAAACTCCTATCAGTCGTTATCAACTTTCCTTACCAGCAATCCATGATCTCGTCCTAACCAACTAACTCACTGGCTGCTTTCATAGTCCGCCGGCGTACGTGCCGGCGTGCTGACGTGGTGGCGGACCGGCATGCCGGCGTGCCGAGGCTGTGCTAGGGGAGGAGGGAGGCTCGCGGTCGGCCAGCCCCTTCGAAGGGCTGTAAACAAAGAAAGACAAGATCAAAAAGCATTTACACAAGCCCCTGGTTGTTTGGTTTTTGATCTTGTTCATCTTTGTTTTCGGCCCTTCGAAGGTGCTGATCGACCGTCTGCCTCACTCCTCCCCCCCTAGCACTGCCTCGGCACGCCAGCACGCCGGCACGCACGCCGGCGGACTATGAAAGCAGCCACTGAATTGTCAAAGCTCCACTATTATTTCCGCATTCACTGGCTTCTCCGAGGCAGGCGTAGCGAGTCTGCTACAACTTCTTTAGACTACTAGTGCTTTGGAAGCCCGTGTCCTTGTCCATAACATCGCCGTTTTGTTGAAATAGTTCCAGCATAGCGGTGATGTCATGGACAATGACATGGGCCAAAACTAACGTAATGGCTTCATCAGAAATAGAAGTTATCCTTTTTATGCTCGAGGAAGCCTGCTTGCACGCATCCCTGTCCTCCTCTACATGGATATACAGTATCACGTACCCGTGAGATCGTTCAAAGATCTTGAGGGACTTACGTGCCATAGCCTTGAAATTTCCAGTTTTCGTTTGTTTTGTACTCGTTAGTGGAGCTCGACATCTTCCACAATTTTTCGTCTATGGTCAGATTCACCGACTAGGAAGGTCTTTTAAGGCGTGGGAAGCTTTTTGAAAATGGTTTTTTGCTTGGTATAGGGGCATAAGCACTGAGTATAGAACTATGATCCATTTCAGCTAAATGGCCTTTTGAATGCCAAAAAAGGATGAAAATGATTTTGTCAGAAATTGCCGTTTCAACCCACTAAGCGTCGTTTGTTTCAATCATGGCGTCGACTGTCCGCACAGTAGAGGGCGCCAGTGGACTGCGCATCGAAAATAACGTGAACGGTAGCCAAAAAAGGGAACCACATGTAGAAAAGTGCAGGGAAGTTTCATATATGCTCTCCACGGTTGAGCTGCTGGCAGCGACGGATGTTGTGGTGGATAACGACGTGGATTTTGAGTTCGGACGGCTAGTTCGGGTTGATAGGTCGGATCTACGAGGCTTTGACGTTTTTGCATTTTATGCTGCCACCTCCAGATTGGCTCCATATTGCACCGGGGCCAAAGCAAGGTCTTACTGGTCATGGTCGTGACCAGGATTGGCGATAACATCTTTAAGTCGTTAGAAATTGATGTGTGGAGCACTATCAGTGAAAGAGCTTTCACACTCCCAGGAGCCTCCCCTTCCCCTCCCCCTCCTCCCTCCCCCCACAACTTCCTCACGTAGTTTTTTCGTCAGTTTGGCGGTTTTTGCATCCCTCTCGAAAGTTCACTCAGTTGGTAAAATGTTGGTAAATTGGTATGATATCATATCGGTAGTCGAAAAAAATTTCGATATCATATCATCCGGTCTTCGGACGTTGCGTGGATATTGCACAGTCCATACAATTCATTGAATGGTTTGGGCAGTGATGGTTTGATACCCTAGCTGATCTCGCGCCGTTGGAGGGTTTTGTCCACTGTTCTGGATAGGTCATCTCCATTTCCTTCCCTACTCACGATCAGTATCTTCTGCAGTCACCTCGACTTCAGCAATTTAATTCTTGATCGTGACTGACTTGCCCGCCCTTCATAGCAGGACGCGGAGTTAGGGAGTCGTATGCTGGGAACGAGCATCTCCAAACCCTTCATCTAGTCATTAATCTATAATAGAAATCTGGCGCTCGAATGATTTTTTGAGGGGTGACAGCTTTTTATATCACCAATGCTTATGGATCCTTCAGCAAGAAGAAGAGTTGGAAGAGAATCTGATTCGTTTGCTCACAGAAGTCCGCGGTTGACGCCCAGGGAAAAGCCGGAATCGGGAGCTACAATGAATTTGGGAATCCTCTTATCTTTGCATTGACGAACGAGGTCGAGGATAGCTTCCATCGATCAGGAACCATATTATAGGGTTTTGACCCCCATTACGACACTTATATAGCGTGAAATGAAGAGATCCCTATTTACTCCTGGGAGTGTGAAGCCTGGAAGCTCCTTCACTGATGGTGTGCCCCACATCAAATTCTAACGGCTTGTAGAGATTATGGGTGGTCCTGTTCACGACAATGATCAGTAAGGCACTTGCTTTGGCCCCGGTGCAATATGGAGCCAATCTGGAGGTGGTAGCATAAAATGCGAAAACGACAGGCCCTTGTGGATCCGAGCCATCAACTCAGCGTAGTCGTCCCAACTCGAAGCCCA